TGGGGATCCCTGTTCATCTTCGTAGTTTGTGGCGTGTGTTTGGATCGGGGATTGGGTAGCAGTACGATAGAGTATGGTGGCATACTTGCCCTTCGACTGTCGAGCCCTTTGAGCTTTTGAGGCTCTGGTCTCGGATGGGTTGGGGTTTGCAGTCCCAGGTCCGAAATTATGCGGTAGGGACAGAGGGCCTGGACTGGATTTGCATGTGGCACGAGAGCACAGTGAGCGAAAGTGTTGTTACGGCCACATCTCTGGGCACAAACACGATGCCCCAAGCCCAAAGCCCGAGATACCGCAGCAGATCCAGGTCAAGGAGATAGCCATTGCTACTGCTGCTCTTATGCAGATGATGACGACGAGGCTGTTGAGAGGATGATGAAGATGATAGGTAGGGCGCGATGCCACTCACGGGGGTTGAGTTTGTCGTTATCCTTTTGAAGGCCTTCGACGGCGGGCGCCGAGATACGATGATGGTTGAGCATGACAGGGCCGCTGATGTTAAAGGTGATGACATGCTGAAAGGGTGAGGACCACGACACACGGTAGTGCGACGACAACGGGCCCAACAGGTATGAACGGGATGACCGTGATGACGAGGGCGATGAACGGCAACAGCATGACAAGAAGCTAACCCTCATGAGTTTGCTTGATATTCTTTTCAGTGGGCAAGCTTTCCCAAGCTTGTTCGATGTCCCCAGCTGCCACAACGTACTGGCCCAGTGTATGTCCCGATGCCCAGACCAAAGCCATCAAGACGTCGCAAGTACCCATACCAGCTCCAAGCATCCATTTCCAAACCCGGACTGTCTTCTGACTGCTGCCTTCCTGCATCATGCAACTTTCCCTTGAGAACCCAAGGGACAGTGGAGCTGTTCAGTCCAGGTCAGCGGCACCTACAGCTCGCTGGAGTGCATCGTGCCAAATGTGGCTGTCTCGTCTTCTCTTTGGGCTTCAATGCAAAGCAGATCTTGCAGGGCCAAGACTTCAGGTTGTAGTAAGACTGATTTGGCTTCGCTTGCTAAAGCTACCGGCATTTCTCTTGGGGGTTTTACCCCAGCCTCACGATTCAACTGGAAGCGATCCGAATGCGCATGGAAGAATGCAGCCACGTCTTGTGGGGTTCCATGTCTTGTCTTGCCCCATTGCGGCTGATACTGTAGTAAGGACTAGAGTCTAGAGCTGTTTATCGAAGGGAATGGCGCACCTTCACACACTTGTCGCAAGAGTGGTGCTAAGAGTGGTGGTAGCAGGATAAATATTGGTCGAGTAACGGTGGTACAAGTAGTAGTAAGTAGTAGGTGCAGGAGCAGAGCGAGTTGCAACAGCAGCAGCGGCAGCACCTGCGGCAGCACTGTAGCAGTAGCAGAAGCAGCAGCCGCAGCCGTAGCGGTACGCGTAGTCGTAACAGCAGCAGCAGCGGGAGCGGTAGCAGTAACAGTAGCAGTAGCTGTAGCAGACTCTGTAGCAGTAGCAGCATGATAACAATGGCCTCGTCGTCGTTCAACATGCAAAAACACCGATTCCGAAGGTCATCTTCCAGATGATCAAGAAAATGTACAGCAAACCCTTCGATTCCGAGAACTTAAGCTCCAGACCTGCAGGTAGGTGTTTTCTCGATATCCAAGACCTCAGAATTCTGGACGCGAACCAAGCAGATGGAACAGAACCCTCAAAAAGGAACCCTGCAGTTCGTGCTTTGCTGAGCAAATCTGCAGAAGGTAGGGAAACTTGCCTGTCAACTTCTGGATGCAGCCGCAGAAGATGCCCTCTAAATGCCCCCGAAATCCCAGGTGACAACGCCTGAGGTGGTGTCAGGAGTGTCGGAGTCTGTTGCCAGGAGCCCAGGGGCCTCGGGGAAGCCGGCTTTGGGCTTGGAGCACAGGGTTGGGCTGAAAGCCCAGGGCCGGAAGAGCTCAGCGAACTGGAGATGTCGGAGAAACGTTTCTCTTCGGACTTGGCGTTTAGAGGTCTTGGGCCAGGCACGGTTCAGGGCGCAGGGTCCAGGCATTATGACCAGAGTTTTGTGATGGCGTTACCGTGGAGGTTTGGGAGGTGTACATGAACGTACGGAGATCTAGTATATAGTAGAACACAATATATAATGTAATATAGCAGAAGACCATCTGATACTATGTTACAGGACATTATGTTAGGTCAGGTTGCTAATAGTATGTCATATCATAATATACTACAACATACTGTTTTGTATTGTAATATGTTTTATATGGTAGATCATGTTATGTTATGTTGTATCATGCTGCACTGTGTTATACAGATATAAACACATTGGATATCATATACTACACATCTACTTTTCATGTATTCTATGCTTTATACAGCATATCATATAGTAGACTTTGTCTTTATTGTATATGGCAGGATATATTATGTAGTGTACGTTGTAGAATACTTATACATACATGGGTATGTATGTATGTATGTATGTATGTACATATATATATATATATAATGGAAGTGAGAACACACACTATATAACACACAGTGTATACTCCATACTGTCTTTTCTACCTTAAATTTCACGAATGTCATATTGCGTACTATTGCATTACATACTATACTTAACATATTATATACTATTGGATGGCATGTTTTCAACTATATGTTAGATTGTACAGTATATACTACAATACTTTACATGTTGTTGCAGTTTATATTATTTACTCTGTATGGTTGATATGTAACTTGTTTTTGGGATGTATCATTTAACAGATGCTACATATCGCATAATATGTCTTTTGTTTTCGTTTTTTATACCATCACATATTACACATTTCGACCATATATTCTATGTTGTGTTCTGTTGTCTCATGATATATGCTTTATATTGTATCAGATACTAACAGATACCGATACTGATGCAGATACATGTACATATACCTTTGCATATTATGCACATGCACATACACGCCCTACATCAAAGAGCCTAGACCCTAAACCCTAAACCCGAATCCACAAGTATGGTTCTTATGGTTTGAGACCCGCGAATCAGGATCTCCCAGGTCCCAGGACTTGGGGCGCACCGTTTGGGGATATTTTGGGTTTCGGGTGTGTCGTGTTTGTTTAGAGGATTCAAGCGTTATGCTGGGAATCCCGAGGCTCATAGCGATTCAGTAATCTATGCTCTATCTATCTATATATATCTATATATATGTATATATAATTATATATACATATATATTTATATAACATTTAATGCATCGCATATAATACATCATATACATTTATTAATTATTGCATAGCGTACAATATCGTCTTTCGGCGTGTCTTGGCCCTTCGGATCTGGAAGGCTTTCGTGCTTGAGCCTCCTTCCATCCGTGCTTTTCTCGTCCCAGACAAGCAAAGTCAACCCGAGCCCAGCCCCGCGAGTCCCCATCCCACCTGATGCAATGCCGACTCAACGACCATCGAAGCCCTCCTAATTACATCTTCCGACTTTCCAGCAGCTCGAAGAAGCTTGCGAACCGAATCCCTGCAGCCTGGAGCCTTCAACCAGAAACCCCAAAGCTTCGCTCATCCAACGCTAAACTCTCAATCAAATCCTCGTCGTCCCTTCCTCCGAGGTTCTGCCTGCAGCACGTGTCATCTCCCGCAATGCCGGCTTGGCAACCGTGGCCACACCCGCACGCATCCCTGAGGGCTGGTGTATTTTAACTTTTGGAAGTTGATCTTGAACCCCACAGCCCCAAAATGGGTTCGTGGTTCTTTCGAGCCGTGGAAGAAGCCTATAGCTCAGGGGCCTTGGGACGTTAAGAGGGTTTGGGTTTTTGGGGTGTAGCAGTCTGGTGTTGCCATGCATGAAGGAAGATTCGCGCTTTCTCGCTTTCTCTCTCTTGACCCATTCCATTTCGTTTCCTCTCTCTCCCCCTCTGTGTCTCTCTCTGATTGTACAGTCTGCAACATGTCCTGATATGTCCAAGCCGCGGGCTTTGAACTAACCTGATTGCAGATCGTGCCCAGCAGATGTCTAAGTGTAGGCTCTCTGCAAGACTTTGTGCTCCCCGAGAAAGGCATCTCTTTAGTGCTTCCACTGAAGATCCTTCTCATCTACTTGCTGGCATTCTTGCACCCGCCTTCCTCAGGTTTGCTTCTATGGCGTTGGTGAGGCTCATTTCGAGGCTGGCACAATCTGCGTTTGAGTTCTTGTCGGCCATGGCAGTGGGAACTTCAAATGATGCTGCTATTCGCTCATGAAGCATGATTGGTGCCGCGATTGTCCAGTAGTTCCAAAGCACCGCTCGTGAATCCTCAGCCCGAACCCCTTGAAGCGAAGATCCTGTGAACTGACGGTCGCGCGCTTCAGGTGGGTCATCCAACGTGTGTCACGGCCTTCGACGATGATCCGGAGATCGTAGGAGGACACATGACGAACTGCGATAATCCCCACAATCTTGCTCCGTCGAATCCGACTTTGCGCGTGCGGCTCTTGGGGATACCCGGTCATTTCTGTATGCCAGTGCTTAAAGTTGCTCCATTCCGACATGACTCGCAACGCTGCAATATGAACAGGAACCACCGGTACCAATTGCCATGTTGGCTGGATGCCCAGTGGAAAATGGCGGGTGCACAGTCTGGTGTCAGTCGTCCTTGTTCTGGTTTTGACGACTGCGGGAATGCATGCCTGCAAAAGTGTTTTCAGAAGCCGCCGCTTGCCAGCTCTGCTTGAGCTTTGGAATGCTCTTGCCTGAAAAGTTTCAAGGTGTGGACTTTGGGCCTTTCACGAATGGCCGGGTCGAGAAGATCCGCTGGCATCCGCTCTACGACGACTTGGAGGCTCGTTCGCTGCAACTGCCCGGACAGTGACTGTCTCTTGGCGCAGCCTTGACGGAGTACCCAGCGTTCTGAATCTGATGATCTAGCTGAGGGCCTGCAGTTCTTGCAGGGGAACTGACGCGCTTCCTCTTCAAAGCGAGCGGCCAGATTGGCTCAAGCTTCGCTTCTGACTCACTGCCTTAAGCACACCATCTGAGCGCTTCGCGGCCATGCTGGCGCTTCGAGCCGTCTTCCTCTTTGGACTGAAGAGCATCCATGCCTCCATCCTTTCAGTGACCGAGCGAATCACTCTTGGAGAGTGCCTGGACAGTGCCGCAGTCACAAGTGGCGATGTGCTCTTTCCGGAGGTCTCCCGCGTTGGCGTTGTACCCTCTGCCGTGGTAACACAAGCAGAATCCGACATCCAGGCTGCTGCTTTCATGTCCATCAGCTACGGCCAGAGCTTCAAGATTGTAACAGAGCGATTCTCCAAGGAGCAGTATGTGCTCACTCATTGCGGAATGAGTCAGCCAAGCACGGCGGAATTGGATGCGCTCGTACCGTTGGAAGCAGGCTACCAGCGCAAGTTCCTCACAATCCCGCTGCAGCGGGTCATCGCCGGCGGGACTACTGTACTGGGCTTCCTGCGCCGTCTTGGAGTTCAAGACCGTGTAAGCCATATTGACCAGTCAGCAACAGGACCCTGCTGGCAGAAGGCTCTTTCCTGCAACGCCTCGTTTGAGTCCAGCTGGGGCGGCAATGCGACGCTCCGCACTTTGCAGATGGAGACTGCAGATGCCGTCTTCATGGACTGCTCTGGTGACTGCGCAGCTCTTCGTGCCCAGCAAAACGCAGTTCATTTCCCGGCCACCAAGGACAACGGCAATCTACACACCGCAGAGTACATCAAGTTCATCGCCGCCTTCTTCAATCTGGAGGCGGCTGCCAACCAGTTCTTTGATGCCACCGTGGCTGCCTACACCGCCAATGCTGGCCAAAGCAACGGTCCGAAGGTTGCTTGGATTGAATACAATACGTGGGGTGCCCTCCCCTCCTATCGGGTGAGCATGGCGACGTACAGAGCGCAGATGGTCGACGGAGCAGGAGGCCGCATGGTGAATGCCAGCGACCTGCTTGCACAGGGCATGGCCGTCAGAGACATCGTGGCTAGCAACCCGGCTGCGGGTAAGGTGTACATCCTCGAAATCAACGCATCTGAAACCACCGCGGCTACTGTGGCACAGACGCTGATGAACGCGCTGAGCGACGTGGACATCGTGGTTGATGAGACGTATGCGCCAACTCCCAGGACGTACACCTTCACCAGCTTCCTCACTGGGTTCCACCTCACAGAATCGAGCAACCTGAAGTTCGTGAAGGCGGGTGCAGGGTGATGCGATGTAGTGAGCAGAATCCAGGACATCTGAGCCTGTCAGTATTAGGGCTTCAGCTGGGACCCCTAAACCCTAGACCCTATAAACCCTAAGCTGTCGAAGTCGCGAGGACAGGATGGTTTTGCGCTGGGATGGCACTCTGAGCGAATCGGACGGTTTGGATTGGTTCGTGTGCCGGCCTGATTATTTCAGGGGGGATGCCTGGTTATCTCTGATGGTGAAATCCTGGCCGCAACGATTTGAATCCTGAAGTCGTCGCAGAGTGTGAATAGTGTGACAGGTTTCGAAAACTGTTTTGTGCTGCGAAACAATTCGAAGTGTTTGACATGAAGCCTTGTCGAAGCAGCCGAGGAATCGCGAGTTTCTTCACCCGACTGGGCTGTTGAGGGCCTGGCTCGGTATGTGAAGAATGATACATCGAAGCAGCAGAAGTACTTTCGCAACATTGCCACTGGTGAGATGCCAGTGGTCATCCTTGCATCCCAGTGCACTGACACCCTCCCGGCATGCGATGCAACTGCCAATGAAGCTCCGATTGTGTCGCCTAGGCAAGAAGCGGGGCTCTCAGGAGCTCAAGGTCAAGGCTTCCCCATCCTTGCCGCGATTGCATCTTTGGCACTCTGGCTGTGCTGAGCCTTTTTCTCGCGTTGTTCCAAAGATATCGCAAGAGGTAAGGGGCAGGCCATCCATTACGGAGTGGCCGAAGTGAGGGGCTGTGTTTTTGTCAGTTTTTCCGGAGAATTTTACGATGTGCAGGCTTGGTGGCGGTCTCTTCAAACGGTACTGGGATTCTTGCAGGGATGCATGTGCATTTGTATTGGGGTGCCTGGTCGCTGCATCAAGACATGCATGTAGCACATAAGGAGACCACCAGCTTGGATGTCGAATCACACCTTAAAAGGGGGCGATGTTTGAGCGTTCCCTCGCCTTCTTGTGGACTTGAGATGTCCAAAAGCCGGATGCCGTCTGCAAATCCTGGAGATGGGAAGGGGGGGCAGCAACACCACAGACGTGGCGGTGCTGTTCAGTCCTTCAGTACCCTTCCGTCATCTCGCACGTGCACCAGCAGCGGCAGGTGTACATTTGCTCTGCTCCTGTAATGAGCAGGACCCGGCGCGCCGTGAGGCACAAAAGAGAGCTATCGAACCAGACACCCTGGCAACCTGGTAATGCCATGAAGAAGCTCCGAGACGCTGAACTCAGCTCTGAAACGAGCAGGCCTAGCTCTAATATATATATATATATAGATATAGATAGTATATGGCGCACTCTATGTTGCAGGATGTTATGATTCTGTATGTGTTTTGTAGGATGGTATGTCAGGCCGAGCTCTACATCAACTCCAAGATCCAGATCGGCAAGCTAAGCGCCTCGCAGACTTGCGATGAGCTGAGCAAGGGCCCCAGTGTCGATGGAGTCAAAACCCACGCAGCATCTAACGGTTTTTTGGAAGCTACCGAGTATGTACGACTGTAGGTATGGCCGTGGAGTCATAGAGTCATGGAGGCGGCGTGATATACGAAAGGGAACAAGGAACAGCAGATAATGCAAATACCGGTACGCAAACTCATCTCACGTCAAGTTGGTGTTCGTCTTGAAAGCTCCGACGTCTAAGCAGAAAGGAGGCAGTTGCGATTCGCCCATGAAGGAGCCTCAATTTATGACGTGTACTCCTGCAATTATCCAAAACCCCAGACCCTAATTAAGCCCAGAACCCGACACCCAAGGCCCGACCAAACGCTACACCCTAAACCTGTGCATAACACCCTGCAGTCCTACTGGGCAGAATTCGGCAGAGATTGGCATCCTTTCTGGCTTCTTGTTAAAGGATGTAATGTAAGTTACCACAATAATAAGGAAGCTTTTATAAATCCGCATTATGGCAACTTAAAATTAAGTCCTTTAAGAAGAACCCCAGTGTGGAACCCTTATGGGCTCCCTTATTATAGAACCCTCATAGAGCCCTTAGAATCCAGTTTTGAGGCTACGGATGGCGCGGAGTGGAGTATCGAGGCTGCCAGGCCCCAGAATCTGCCTGAGGGCTCTGGGCTCTGGACTGAGGCTTCGGGGTTTTAGGGTTTTTAGGGCCTTTAGGTGGATCAGGGTTTAGGGTTGAATTGTGGTTGGGGGTGTAAGGTTTGGCCCCAAGTCTTCCAAGCTTCAGCACCTTCATCCTGCACAGTTTCATCACCCTTTGTGGTTGAGCCGCTGTTTCACCCACAGTCAGCCGAGCCCTGAACGCAAATCCTACCCTCGAAACCCCAAACCCTAATCAAGTGTTGCCGAGTGCAGGATGTCAGCGAGAAGGGCAATCCATGTATCGGCCCGGGGCACGGAGCGCACCTGCTCCGGCAAGCTTAATTTCCTTAAGGTAGAGTTAGGTTCTGCTTCTCAATGCCCATCTTTGCTAGCTTGGAGCCCTGTGACCACTAAGGCTGGGATGGTGCTTGCCTCAGGCTTGGGATTTCTGGCAGCTGTGAACGAGGCCGCCGCCACCACCCCACACCACCCAGCACCCGGCTCCCAGCTCCCAGCCCAGCTCCCAGCGCCTAGCGCCCACCACCCACCACCCACCCACCAGCCACCAACTCCTCCTCCTGCTGACTACTCCTCATCCTCATAATCATTATCATCAACAATATCATCATCATCATCATCAACCATCAGCATCACTGTCTCGCCGCCATCATCATCGACACCTCGTTGCCTTCACAACCATGGCAACGAATAGTTACCAATCAGTGCTGACAGCACTGATTCAGCTATCGCTACCACTGCCGCTGTCTCTTGCTCTTCTTATAAGCAGAGGTGTCAGCGACTATGCCGACCGGTTCCCCGAAATGAAGGGGTCGCTTTCTCAGAGTATTTTGGCCCGTTTCGGCGAGAGGGAGCTGGCAGATGCCCGTAGGAGACTTCGGGGTCAAGCCTTCGTTCCCCAAAATTCGGGGTACCTTATTTTGGGGACCTTGTAATAAGGATCCTACTATATAGGGTCCTATATCCCCCATTTTCGGAGACTCCCATGGTGCTGGTTCAGTCATTCGTGCCGGTGGGGGATGTTGTCAGGAGTGCAGCAGTTGACCAGCTCAAAACTCCAAAACCCCAAGAGGCCGAACTGCTGCAGGCTGCTTCAGCTCCAGCAACTGCTGCTCATTGCACGTAAATGCGACACTGAGATTTGACATACTCCTCCCTGTCCCATCCGGTGGCAAAAGCTTTAAGGAACTGTTCTGTGCTGTGGCTGTCCGAAAGGGCCCTTCATGAAACGAAGCATCTCTTGGGGGTTCCCCGAGGCACAGCTACTGCCGGAACCCCGAGCCAGGCAGCCGGAGCCCTGCAGCGTGATTCACATGGGAGTTTCCGAAAATGGGGGATATAGGACCCTAAATAGTAGGATCCTTATTATAAGGAACCCAAATAATTTACCCCGAAAGAGGGGAAACTCCCACATAGAGGTTGGAACCATTAGCAATGGTATACCCTTGCAGGCCCCTCATATCTAAAGTACAATGTGTACACCAAAACACTGAAGAATAAGGCCTTCTTGCATTTTACGAGGGTCTTGTGCAGGTAGGGGGCATGCACAAGCTTCTTCCGTCCTCCTCCATGAGGGAGCCACCCTGGAAAGAGCCTGAGGTCTTAAGACCTTTTCCTTATGCAGTGCTTAGGCCCTTAGGCTAGTGGGCCGCGATGCCCGAGCCGGATTCGTCTCATGGAGACTTTGAGTGGATCAAAGGGTCTCAACGCATTCGACGTCACCGCGGTGAGACCTTTTGGATGGCCTTTGGTGGTGCTGAAATCGTTCTCACCGAAAGCTCAGGATATGAGCGCGGAATCTGGTGCCAGACAGCGAAGGGACGTTAAGCCGCCTTGTGTTGCCCACGACCCGCGACATTCGGGTCTTGTTTTAGGATCTCAGGATTTCGAAATTGCAGTGCATGCTTAGGTACCGAGAGTCCAAACCTGTACCTGTATCTCATTTTAGCACATGGGTCCTGTGAACTATAGGGATTTGTGATAGAAGATTTGCAATCTCGGACTTCTGTATCTGGCACTACTTCATGTGGGCCCGTTTAATTGAACGACAGAACACAAAGCTTGGACTCCTCCATGTACCCACAGAATCGCCCCGGTGTGGGGACTGGTGCACTGGGGTGCGAGTCCCGTTTTTGGTGCCACCATCTTTGCATCCTGGCAAGCCACTCCGTGTCGCAAACCCGTGTTTGACGTGGCTGAGTAAGAAAAATGACGTCGTAGGTGAGCAGGCGGCAGACAAGCACCCAGTAGAACGGATGCGTCCTGCTGCCAGCCGATAGACGGAATTGTTTGCTGAGCCTGTTGGCCTGGCGTTCCCTTTGCTTCACAAGGGATGCCCTTCCGTGCATGAATGGTGGAAGAAGTATGAGCCGACAAGGTACAAGTAGAAGCAGGAGCCATCTGCAATTGTTTGGAAGAATGCAAAACCGGGCAAAGCCCTAAACCCGCCCCAGCGATGCCAGGCGAGTACTGCAACCCCAAGATGCCCAAGATCGACTGGACGGATATCACCACCATCACGCCGCCTCGGCAAATGGGTCGTTTATCTGAAGTCGAGCTCTGTTTCGTGCTGGCAGCTGTCATCGTTTGCAAGCAGGTTTGGCTTACAATCCATAGTGCTAAGCTGTGCCAGTCACGCATGTTCGGAAGGGCTGTGCAAGCCAGGACGGCACCGAAGATGCTTTGGAACGAGGTGGTGTGACCGTCTCAGATTGCCCGATCTCAGATGATGGTTCTCGGATTTGGGGTTTAGAAACGTTTGGGAGGCTGGCTGAGAGTTAGCACTCCCTCGTCATGCATTGGGTGTTCTATCGTGAGTCTGACCGACCTGAATTGTAGAGCTCTACCAGAAGCCGAGCAGAGAAGCGCGGTTCGTTTCGCCGTGTGTCGCAACGATCTGGGAGTGTCAGATGCTGCCCTCCTCTAGTCTATCGCTGTCACTAGTTTGCATAATGCTGCTTCTTATTGCTGCTAGTAAAGTTGTTGGTCTTAGGGTTTACGCCCCAACGCTCATGCTCCCAAACTTCCTCGTTGTTTCGTTTTCGGGTCCGCCGGCCCCCGCACCACCCTCCCCTTGAAGCGCATTGATCGCAAAGGATTGAAGCATGCCCCTGCACTCAAGCTACAACAGGCAGCAGGCCATTTGTGCACAACAGCTACAGGCTCACCAACCCTCTGATCGGCCGCTTTGTCCGCTTCCTGTCGCCGACAGGCAGGTCTGGTTCGAACCCTAACTTAAGCCCAGGGAGATGGACCTTGAACCCTAACCCCCGAACCCAGCCTTCAGGAAATTGTCAGTTTTTCAATTTCTGTGGGCAGCCTGCAACTGGAAGCCGTTCAGGGACTCAGCAGGATGGATGAGAAGAAGCTTAGGTGTCACGGCTCGTAAGCAGTACAGGTGTACGTGCTTGTGTACGTATGTATATTTTTTTGATATTATATAATATGTACACGCTGACGCCCACACACCCACTGGACATACAATATCCACATGTGTATGTATATACATATATACATGTATGTGCACGTGTGTATGTACGTATCTACGCATGTGGGTACGTGCATATATAGGTATGTAACGTATGAATGTGCATATGTACGTAGGTATGTATGTATGTATGTATGTATGTATGATGTATGCACGTATGTATGTATGTATGTATCTATTTATGTATGTATGCATGTATGTATGTATGTATGCACATCGTATTTATGATAGAAGGTTCACAACTTGTACTAGGTATGTGCATGCCTTAAGCTCACGAGCGGTTCAAGCTTCACAGGTCCCTCCCTCTTCTTTCCTTGAAGCCATGTCGGGCCAGGGAGACCAGTTGGACAAAATGTCCACTTTGCTGGCAGAAGTGGCTGCTCAGCTAGAACAAGTGAAGCTGCAAGGATCACGGCGTGAAGAGCAACATCAAGACCTTACTGAACGCATGAGTCAGTTGGAAGCACGCATGGATGCCCCACAGTCTTCGGCTGCTGTGCTAATTCCGACTCAGCTGCAGCCACAATCCTTCACAGTTCCGCTAGCCCAGGGGGTAGACCTCAACGCCCCGGCTACAGTCGGGCAGTGCATGGAGTTAGTGCAGATGGCGATGCAACAGAAGGTCGCCCCAGCTCTCGGAGCAGTTTACTCCTCCCTGTCCACCTCACAGGTGAGGACAAACGAGCGAGTGGGCAACCTGGAGCAGCAGGTCCGGGCCCTCCGCATCCGTACTGCATGGGCTGAGAAGGACATGCTCTTCTCACAGATCGAGCAGGCAAAGCGCACCATCGTATGCCGCAATTTCCCCACCTGGCAGACGGAGGCGGACCGCCGTCTCACAGTGGAAAAAGCCCTTGCGAAAGCTGGGCTGTGGAACATCGATGGCATGTGGGATCTGGCCACGACCCGGCTGGACACTGGTACGCCAGGCAAGCCGGAGCTCTCTGCCACGTCCATCCTCACAGTCCCTTCCCTTACGGTCCGGAAGCGGATCCTGGAGGTAGCGGACAGGGTGTACCCTTGGTACTTCCACCAGGAGAAGCCTGGGACAACGGAGGAACCCAAGGAGCCCGAAGAGGCAAACGAAGGTTCTGAAGGAACGGCTGAGAAGACCCCGGCGGCATCCTCACAGGCAGCAGGGTCCAAAGAGGAAGCCCAGACCTATGAGTATAAGGGCGGCGGTCCTGTAAAGCTCTCCCCCGGAGTCACACAGTTTGAACGCCGGCTCGCTTCGCCGCTCCAGGGACTCATGAACGCTTACAGGGCGGCCTTCAGCAAGTTCACCAAAGAGCCGTTGGTGCCGAGGTGGAAGACGCTGGCACTTGTTGACTCCAAAGAGGCTTGGCTGGGCCGTATCGTGTACCGCCGTGGAGGTCCTTCACAGACGACCTCCACAGGAACCCTCACAGACTGGGAGTGCGAGATCCACATCCCGGAGGAACATGCCAACAAGCTCTTGGAGACCTGGCGCAGCATCTGGTATGACCAATTGCGACAGCAGGTCAACCAGACGACTGTCGAGCAGGAAGCTTTCGACAGTGCAGCTCGCCTCACAGCACTATGCTGAGGCCAAGAGACTTAGCAGGTTCCTGACCAAGGCCATCCCGGAGTACAACGAGGGCGAAGATGAAGGCCTAGACCACTGGATCGCCAGGTTCCGGTATGAGTTCCCCTGGCCGGTGAAGTTTGTCCAAGTCCCCCCGGACGCCGAGGAGAGGACGCACTTCACAGGCCTCCGGTCCACCGAGGAGCTCATGGAAGAAATGGCAGCCCAGGAGCAGGAGGCAGCCTTCACAGTGAACTCTGAGAGTGGAGGCGTGGGGGCAATGATCGACGTGACCTCCCAGATGAAGCGCACTCACAGTGACGCACCTCCGCTGTCAGTGGAATCAGCACGGCTAGCGTCCCGAGTTCGGGGCTTCCGCCTCCACAGCCCACCAAGGCCCGACCGAGCTACTACCCGTTTGGCTCACAGACGGAGCTAGAGGGAGCGGTCGAGGCAGCCAAGATCGCCCACATCAACCATGGTGGGGTCCCGGGCGACTACTCACAGGAGGCCTGGGAGGCATGGTGCATCAAGCGCCGAGCGGCCGGCTCACAGTCGCAGTGATGGTCTGGCAAGCGCGCCCTCTCTTCCTTGCAATCTTCCGCAGCAGCTGTGCGACCGCATTTTTCACAGGCTGCTGCCTCTTGTACCATAGCAGACCCAGACCGTACCACACAGCTGGGCAAAAACAAGTTGAACCGTTCTGGCACGCCACCTAAAGGCGAGCTGGGTGCGCTGAGCCACTATTATAACTCTAGTCCATCTACACCTCACAGTTTCGCTCTTCCAGGTTGCTCTGAGAGTTGTTCTAGTGTGCCTTTCGGCGACGAAGTGCCCCACAGACCCCACACCACTTCCCGGACGCCCCCCTCCTCACAGACCCGAGCACAATACCACCGCCACCTCAGGTCACAAACAGCACGGCAGCGGCGAGCACGCCCCCGCATCACCACCAGATCTCGCAGCAGGCGGGAATACAGAGCTTGGAGGCATGCTCTATCCACCTCTCCAACCCCTAGTTGTGGTTTGGGCTCCAGAGCTAGGATCAACAACCAAAAGCCTTTATACGGCCCCACGCCGACTGCCCCAACCCCGGGCGGCTTACAGCCTGTTTCGACCAGGGCTTCCCTTAAGGGCCGAAGCCCTCAGTTTCGCTCTTGCAGACGTTTCCACCGCCTTTTGGCAAAAGCCCCAGATATGAGAGTGAAGAGACACCCCCCACAGAACCGATCCACCCCCAACCATTTGAGGCTTCGATCACCGGAGCCTACCACCCCACCAACTGGCCATTTTGGCCCGCCTGCCTCACCAACGGAAGGCTCCTCCACCTCTCACAGCGGACACTCTCCCCCCCTCTCTCCCTTCCCCGCCCAACCCCACCCCCCAGTGGCCGTGACTCCTGGACCGAGGCCCACGATACCCAAAACAAGCAGCACACCCGTGCACACTGGTTCAAGACCCACTGCCGCAGCCCTCAAGAACACGGCAGACAGAGGCACTCCACACAGCTGCGCTCCAAAGTGCATCTGAAAGGGGGGTTCTGGAACGCCACGGGCCTTCTTGAAGCTGGCAAGATTCACACCTTGATCAAGATCATGCAGACGCATGGTCTTGACTGGCTGGCCCTCACAGAGACCCACGTGAAGCAACAGGATCGCTTTATGATCGATGGGTACACCGTCACACATAGCGCATATGACAAGCTGGATGCCAAGGGCAATCCGGTACAGACCTTCACGGGGGTGTCCCTGATTACCTCCCCGCGGCTCACACCTTGCATTCTGGACATCGTGGCCACCGACGGTCGCTTCCTCTCTTTCAAGATCGACACAGCCGAAGCCCCTCTCACAGTTCAGGTGGTGTACGCTCCTCACAATCAACGTGAGCAGCCGGTTCGCGATGCCTTCTGGCAGTCACTCGGGGACATCCTTCACAGCCACCCCGCCAGCGAACCCCTTATAGTGGTGGGCGACTTCAACGCACAACTGCTTGACGAACTCTCGGCCAATCGAGGCAGTGTCGGGCCCCACGCCCACTTTGGAGCGAACGTGGCCGACGAGACCTTAGCCTCACAGGCTGGCGAGGATGACTCTTTGTCCAATCACGCGCAGCTGTTCGAGATGTCGGTCAGTCACGACCTATGTTTTCCACAGACGTGGATGAACAAAGCCGAGAAACACCGGATGACACACCAGCGCCCGAACGGTGACCTGGTCCAGCTGGACCACGCCATCACTAAGTTCGCCTGGAAGAATATGGTCACTGATGTGCACACCCTCCCGAACGCCGCTCTCAACAGCAACCACTTTCTCACCAGAGTCACACTCTCCTTACACACAGCCTGCCACAAGAGAGCAGCACCCACACCCAAGCCGACCAGACGCCCTGATGCGCAGTCCATTCTTTCTTTCAACACACACTTCACAGAAACCCTTCAGCATAAGCCAGCCTTCGAGGAGCCTACCCCACAAGAGGCCGATGTGGAGGACGTCTCCCCCCAGCCTTCACAGTCGAACACCGACCAGCAGAGGCTGGACCAGCAATGGCAATCGATCAAAGATTCCATTTTGCAGTCCATGGAGAAGCATATCCCCGCACAGGACAGCAAACCCAAGCATCCCTGGATTAGCCAGCAGACGTGGGAGCTCATAGAACAACGAACGGCCGCTCGCCAGAGCCAGGATCTGGACACTGAGCGCGAACTGCACAAGACCATCCGCTCACAGGCCCGCAGGGACAAGCAACAATGGCTCAAGGATCGCCTTCAGGAGAGCGAAGAGACCATGGACGCGCGGGACAAGTGGCGCTGGATCAAGCGCATCCGCTCGGACTACAGGCCCCGTACGGTCACTCTACACGACTCCAACGGCAAGCCCACCAGCTACAGCAAACAGGCCGACACCTTTGCCAAACACCTGTCGGAAGTTCAGTGGGCCCCGCCACCAACAGACTACACAGGACCCACCCACAAACTGACGGACGACAGCCCAGTCAACATGGAACCCATCACGATGGAGGAGCTTAGCGCCACTCTCAAAGGCATGGCTTCACACAAAGCCCCAGGCCCGGACCAAATTCCGGCAGAGGCCTTACAGTGGCTCACACCAGCCAACCGGCAACCGTTACTGGACCTCTTCAGCGACGCATTGCTCACAGGCCTGGTACCGGAAGAATGGTCAACGGCAGTAGTGGCTGAGATCCACAAACGAGGCACTATGGCGGACCCCAACAACTACCGCCCCATCGCACTCCTCAGCACCTCTTACAAGCTCTTCGCCAGGCTCCTCCAGAAACGCCTGGAGCAGGCGATAGACCACAAGCTGCGATCCACACAGTATGGGTTCAGAGCCACCAGATCGACCTCACAGGCGATTCATGTGGCCAGGAGGCTGTTGGAGCGAGCCGAACGCTGCGGTTCAACTCTGTACGTGCAGCTTCTTGACTGGAGCCAAGCATTTGACAAAGTCCACCCACAAGCAGTTACGGTGGCACTCGAACGGCACGGAGTGACGCCGTCGTTTGTCAATCTGATTGGCTCGATTTACAACAACCCCTCCTTCACAGTCAAGGCAGCAGGACAACAGAGCCAGCAGTCTCTCGCAAGCTCGGGCATTCGCCAAGGCTGTCCGCTCTCTCCCTATCTCTTCCTGGTAGTTCACAGCATGATCATGGCCGATGTCGACGCGGAGCTGCAGCAGCACGGCCAGATGCTTCCGTGGCTTTTCAGCCAGAACCAACCATTCTACGACCTCGCTTACGCAGACGACATGGCCATCTTCACAGGTACTGCGGAAAGGGGCCAGCAAATCCTGCACAAGATTCAGGAAGTTGCCGCTCACAGCAACCTCTCGTTGAATCTTAAAAAGTGCGAATTGCTTCGCTCACAGCTGGCCGTCAATCACATCCACTTCCTCACAGGTGAGCTAATGAAGGAAGTCACACAGGCCAAGTACCTCGGCGTTGTCCTCAGCCAGGACTCGTCCAGCAAGGCGGACATCACAGCTAGATTGGGAAAGGCGCGGAAGCACTTCAACACCCTGCACGCCTTTTGGCGACACACAGGCCTGAGCGTAGCGTGGAAGCTGCGCATCTACAACGCGGTGTTCATCCCCATGATTGCTTATGGCATGGAGTCCGCTGCGCTCACCACAGCAGACCTCCACAGGCTTGAGGCCTTCCACTCACAGTCACTCCGCAAGATCCAACGGATCAAAGCCACCTACTACACCAAGATCCTCACAGACAACCCCCTCGCACAGACCATCCGAAATGAAGGAGTCCGAGCCCTTGCCGACCAGCCCCCACTCACCCACCACATTCACAGGGCACAACTAAAGTTGTTTGGTCATGTTTTGAGAGCAACTCCGAGCAACCTGGAGCGAAACTGTGTTTTTACGAAGGCGTTTGTATATAGAGGGGGTACAGTACAGGCAGGCATACGGCCGGGACGTCGTAGACTGCACTGGGCCGAGCAGTGTGCCGAGCTAGCATGGCACTGGCTCTCGCATACTCCACATGCCATGACTTCTCAAGCCCCTAGTTTTCCTTTTGCCTTCCTTTTGCTTCACAGGCTGGCTGTTAACCGTCCGGCTTGGCTTCAGTTAGTGGGGCTGCCAACGTGCAAGAAGCTCCTCAGGTCTAGCGCGTTCTTTTCCTACTCACAGTGAGTACGCTGACTTGTGTCTGCTTTGCATAGGGCCGCCCAAAAAATGTGCATGCCTTCATATGCATTGGAACATAAATCGATGGTCCATTTAGCGTCGCGCCTAATCTTCATCATTGTGAAACGCTGAAACCCCTGGTCCACGCTCTGCGAGCCCCTGAGAACCTTGCGACGCGGCTGGTGTGTAGCTCGCTCTAAGAAATGTGAAGGCCCCTTTTGAAGTGATCGTGTAGTTGGACCTGGTGTGCGGAACAACTCATAGCAAGAGCAGAAAAATCTCTGTATTCCACGAGTTGTTATTAATGGTCCTTCAAGTACCGTGGAACAAAGATGTCAAGAATTGTGCTGGGTGATCAAGATTGGTTTACGTGTCGACATAGACTTGCATGAGTATAGACATCCAGGCACACATTGTCACATCACTTATCATATATGTGTGCAAAGACAACGAGATATGTAGATACAGATACATATACATGTTTACATGGACACACGCACACACGACATGTCGGTAGCCGCTGGCCACTGTACGCAGGTGCATCGATTGAGAGATGTGTTTACGAGTGCGTAGTGTTGTGCATGTGTATACATGTACATAAGAAGTCTGCTTACACCAATATCATACGTGTAGATAGGTCGCTGTATTCAAGCAAACAACCAAGTAAAGTGTGTTTACATACGTAGTATGCATACATATATACATATATGCGTATCTACACGTGTGTATATATATATATATTATATATGTATATAGATATAGACAGATGCCGATACACTATAAAGACACATGGACACATATGTACACATACAAATGTATGTATATATACATGCATACACGCATTTTTCTTATGTGCCTATACTCACAGGTATAAGTATATACATCAATAGATACACGTACACG